TTCTCCCTGTATTTACACATTGTTTTGTTGGGTTTGGGTGTTTCCTTGTCCTTGCTCAGGCTCTGACAGCGTTAAAGTCCACAATCTGCAGCGAGCCTTGCAGGCCAACAGGTCCCTGTCTGTGCAGAGCCACCTCCAGGGCAGGATGCAGGCAGGCAAGGTGAAGGTGGCTGTCCTGATCTCTGGAACAGGTGAGGATCACACTCTTTACCCCGTGTGAACCAGAATGGTGAGCAGGAATTCAGCTGGGGTTCCAAGCCTGTGGAGCTCTCCCTGGACACTCTGAGAGGCTTCTAACAGGCAGGAGAGGTTTTGCCCTTGGATTGATTTTGGTCACAGACAGGAGGATTTTTAACCTCTGCTGCAAACTATGAGCTGCATCTGTGCTCAGTTCATCCCCAAATCCCTGCCCATGTCCAGACCCAAACACCCCTGGGGTGCCCTGTGGAACAGCACCATCGTTTCACAGATAGAGCAGGATTTCTTCCTGCTTCCTGAGTATTCCCACTTACTCAGACCATCATTCCAGTGCTGTCAATTCCCCTTTCCAAGTGCAGTTGCCAGGAAAGGCCCTGGAGCCTTCAGCTGTCCCAGTCAAGCTCAGTGAGATCAATTAAAGCAGGATTAATGTTACATCAGAGCTGTTTGCTTTGGTCTCCCCCACGTTGCTGCTTATTTAAAACCTCTCCCAGCTGCTCACTGGGTTTGTTCTCTGGGAGAGACTTGACATCCATGAATCCTTTCCCCCCAGGCACAAACCTGGAAGCCCTGATCAACAGCACCAAGAAAAGCACCAGTTTTGCCCAGATTGTCCTGGTGGTGTCCAACAAGCCCGGGGTGGAGGGGCTGAGGAAAGCTGAGAGAGCTGGGATCCCTACAAGGGTGAGCACTTCCCTCTTGGAAAAGCAGCCCCCACTAACTCTGACTCCAGCAGGAAGGTGCTGTGAGTTTTCTGGGATAAGAGGTGGGTTGGACAGAGAGCCTTGGCTTTTCTCCCTTGGTCTGTCAGGAATTTGTGCCCTTGGGCAAGCTAACATGGGGAAACAAAATGCCTCCTTTTCTCCTGCTCTGCCAGCAATCCTGGTGCTTTGGGGAGCACTTTTATATTAAACCAGCACAAAACCTTCTCAGCCACAGCTTAAACTTTGCCATTTATTTAACTTCAGTGCATTGACACTAAAGGAACATCCTGTTTTATCTGAGTTGAGCTTTAAAATAATGTGGTGGTTCAGTTGAATAAAATAGAGAGGTCACACTCAGTGGGACCTTCCACTGACTTCAGACTCCCCAGGATTCATTCCCTTGGTGTCCATGGATCCAGGGCTGCCTTGTCTCTCATATTACAGATCTGAAATGATCCTGTTCTGACTTAGAAGTGTTTTCCAGTCCTTTTCCACTGGGAAATTGGGGCCCAAAGCTTTGCTGTTAACTTTAATAATTTGCTAATAGCTTTAACTTTGCTCTTAACTTTGGGAGCTGGCTCTTGTTTGGGAGGACACAAAAGTCACAAGTGAAATAAGTCTCTGGTGTGCAGGGGAGGAGCAAACCTGGAATCACAGAGTCACAGACTGCTTTGGGTTGGAAGGGAACTTAAAGCTCATCCAGTTCCAACCCTCAGGTTTTTCTGAGGAGCTGATGGTCACCTGAGCAGTTCTGGTGACTCTGGTGGGGGTTCACAGGTACTTTTATTTAAGAGACTGGATGCTTTCAGTTAGTTGGTACTGCCTTCTTCCTGCCTAAATTAGGGGATATATCCTGGATGGAAAACACAGAACTCAGGCTGGAGGAGCTGGGGGTGTTCCCCTGGAGAAGAGAAGGCTCCAGAGAGACCTGAGAGTCTCTTCCAGGGCCTGAAGGGGGGCTCCAGGAGAGCTGGAGAGGGACTGGGGACAAGGGATGGAGGGACAGGACACAGGGAATGGCTTCCTAGTGCCAGAGGGCAGGGTTAGATGGGATAGTGGGAAGGAATTCTTGAATGTGAGGGTGTGGAGGGGCTGGGATGGAATTCCCAGAGAAGCTGTGGCTGCCCCTGGATCCCTGGAAGTGCCCAAGGC